TATAAATATCCATTTCCATGTAGCAAATTTTTAAAATTCAACTAACGGAGGAAAACACAGCCACAAAAGAAGTGTATTTCAGAGTTAACGCAAATGAAGAACACTTGAAGTTGATAATTGCTATTTTGCTGTAACAAAGTGGCTTAGAGTAAGACAGAAATATTTTCTTCAAATTCCAACAAGATTAGAGTAATTCAGGTCACATATTCCCTTTCACAATATATAGTCTGTGATGGAGTATTGTCAGAAAATTGCAAGTACTTGCAAAAAAGTGTGAGATATCTTGTGTCTCCCTGAGCTTGTGTTTCTAATAATGATTACTAATTCACTGCTCTGTTAAATGCAGTAGGTCAGGTTAGATGAATTTTTACTCAGAAGAGTTTTGGCTTTGTATCCTTTGCCCTGTGTATCATTTTGTTGCCATCTTTTTCCTTCTTTTTTTTCCTATTCTTTGCTCTTTCCTGCAAGAAAAGAAACTAATGCTTTTATTCTACAAGATAAGAAACTAATGACCTCTTGTCCCCAGGTCCCAATGCCGTGGTGTGGAGCTATATTCACAAATCCCCAGACTTAGACATATTCTTGCTGTGTGTTTTCTTTCTGGTATCAGAGTATAGTGACATAGCTTGTTTAGCTTTTGCTGGTTTTAACAGCAGGCAGAAGAAAGCTTTTCTTAATATTTTTGTATTAAGACAATTAAGAATGGACTGTTGTGTTCTCTACGAGACTAAAAATAGTAGTCAGAGTAAGCTTCCTTCTGGATTGTATTTGTAGAATTGAACAAATGGTTGATATTACCAGTTGGTAACATATGACACCAACATAAAAATGCTGGCATATATTAGCTATAACCCCGTTTTGTGAGTGATCACTCTATTATGCTTTTATTGAGTATTCACATACTCTTTTCTGTTAAAATCTCTTACCACCTTTGATTCAATGCCAGATTTTTTTTTAGCCTTTTCCTTGCTTACCCATTTTTAAAATGCAGCCTACGGCAGTAAGACTTAAATATTCCTGAGGCCTGAAGGTACTGTCACCCTTTAAACAGCATCAAAGCACCAAAATTACCTGAAGGCTCGGCCCAAGCCTTCCCGTCGTCTGGTTTGGCCAGTCCCGCTGCCATTTGCAATTCAAGTATGAGTTCAGCGGAAGGGAACGTTTACTTCAAGCCTTATTGCCAGGGGGATACAGAGACAAAAAAACAGATTTTACAGACAAACCAAACATAGACAAATCCCTTTTCAAACTGTTTAGAATATTTGAGGAATAACTCTTACCGCTTGCCTTTCCTTCTGGCTATTGTACAGGTCTGTACACCCTGAAAGTAACACCTGTTTCCTCCAGGTTTAGTTTATGCACGTGTTGCACATTAAGGATAGAGTTTACTAGATAGTAAAATGTGCTCATTTACAGTTGCAGTTCACATTAAAAACAGGATTGATCCACCCAAACACCAGTTGAGTTACAGTGCTTGATAGCAACAGTGAAGCTGTGAGTTTATGAGGTTTCGTAAGGCAAACGGTCTCAGCATTTGGTGTGAGGTGTGGTCTTCGCGGAGGGGAGATGTGTCCGGTCGCGTGGGCTGGACAGTGCAGGATCTAACCACTAAGCGACCACTAACTCGGTAATATCAGTGCTCTTTCTTTGCCTGTTCTTTTCTAAATGTGACTGAAAACCCCAAACCTGACTACTTGTGTTTTAAGAAGTCGGTGCCACACAAGGAGTCAGCTGGCTCTATTCCTGTCTGTTTAATTAGAACCTGTTTCAACAGAACCTTCTCGCAGCTTTGACTGTTAGTTTTGACCATTTCATGCAATAAACTGTTGTATGCAATATGGCAGTCCAGAACTGACTGCATTTGGGACAAATGAATTGAATCAGGTATGTGTGTGGACGCTGTACTGTAGCTTGTAACTCAGCTGAAGTATGGACTTATAAAATAACCAGTGGGAAGTACCAAGTTTTGGGTAGTTATTATTGATTTGATGAGTTTCCAAGAGGTGGCAAACTAATATGGCACATAGATGTTCATTTTCAGTTTCTTAGACATTGGCTTTTTTTCTGGCTATATGGCTGTGGATCTTTTATTTAGATTGTGAGGCTGCTGTTCATACATCTGCAAATTTTAGCCGAGTGAGCAACACTAGCCAAACTGTGCTAGATCAAACCTCCAAACAAGGTGTTTTGGCATGTGGAGACATTTTACTACCAGGGTCAGGTTAGAATCCCGTCTGCAGGACTGAGCTGCACATCTCCATATGATTCCCCTGTAATCCCTTGGATAAGAACGTGTATTTACTGTGGAGTCCCAAAGAGCTTAGTCAGAGCTGAAGGTTTCCAACCTGCTAGATGCTGTGCAGACCTACAATCACTCTTTTGGTCTCTCAGCATCACCCCATCCTTCCCCTTAATTTTCCTTCGGGTTTTATTAAGTCATAATGTCCTTTGACTCCAAATGGAGTTTGCATACTTCAGGGCAGCTAGATGGGATGGAATGGGGTGGGATAGCAAGCTAAATACACGGAACAGATATGAGCACAGACTTGATAAGGACCCTCTTTTTGCATCCCTTCCAGTTTATTTCCAGATGTTTTCATGTGGAAGCACTGTCCAGTTTTCCCCTTCCTAGAGCAATTTCTGACGATATATCCAACCTTATTGCCATGTTTTTTCATGCTACCACAGCGATGGAGCTCTAGTTCTTGAATCTTAGCACAGTGGTGCCACTGTTTCTGCTGAGAGCTTTCTCCTGCAACATGCACTAAAAGGCCATAGGTTAAAATAAATTTAAAATACGTTCAAGGGAAAATTCACTACACGACTGTCAGGGTTTGGGGATTTTTTTTTTCCCCTTTTCTTAGCGCTGAGGCATATTAGAGATTTTTATGGTTTTGAGTGTGATCCAGCATTGATACTGTAGCTCTGGAGGAGTGCCAGCAGGGAGGCTTATAGAATATCAAGTTTTATACCATCTTATGTAATGTTTATGCGGGTGGGATATGACATATTGAAATTCAATTTATTGAAATTATTGAAATTATATTCATACTGCCGTGCTGCCAGTGGGGCTGAAATGGCTATGTTTTGTGGCATTCCCACTCGCACAGACAGACACTCAGAGACGACAAGTTTGCATTAATGTTTTTGTCTTCTCCTGCACCTATTTTCACTGGTGAACTGGTGCTGTTACACTAAAAGTCTACATTGTGCAGCCACAGGGCATGTGAATAAATAAGGGAAAGGGTCTGAGTTATTAAAAATAACGAAAATTTATTCAGGTTTGCATTGCTGGTTTGGGAACCTTCCTTTAGACAGGGTTTAGTTTCTTTTCAGAAAAGGCAGTATCTATTTCTCTCATTAATCCTTTCATTGCGAAACTCATGTTACAACAATGCACAGAAACCGCTCTACATGAGTTATGTCTTTTTGATTTTATCAGTCTAATTCAATCAGTGTGGATACATTTACATCTGTATAAAGCCACCCTGTACAACACAGATTTTTCCTGTCTAAGAGACGGAAAGACAGACATGTTTACTCTAAGGTCATTCTGTTGCCATGTGAGAGGTCACTCTGTTGCCATGTGAGAGGTTGGTGGTACCAATACCACCATGTTGGGGGAAAGATGTGTGAGAGGAGCCACTCTCCTAGCCAAAGTAGTACTTGCAGGAAAAAAAATAAAAAGATCTGTGTCAAGACCAAACTATAAGTGAATATAAATGTAGCTTTTTTAAAGTGTATTTGCTACTTGAAGCTGTTTCATCTCAAATAAAGAATCATTTATGTATTTGAGAAGTCTTTACTGTAGAGGCTGCCGTTTCTGACAAAAAAAGTCCCACTTTTTTGGCTGGGCATTTACTCACCTTATCTCATGTATCTTAACAGCCTCCTGAACAACAGCTAGAAGTTTGATATGCATTGCTGATGGGGATGTTGAGCCTTCTTCATTACAGTAACCTACCATGGAGCATCCAGTTCATGGTTATGGTCAGATTACTGCAGAGGAAGTCCCCTTTCGGACTAATTCTTGCTTAGCCATAAAGCAGGTGGCAGTAAACTGTTCTTTTTGTTCACTGTGGACAGAACAAGAACGAATGGGTCTAAATGGCAAAACAAGAAATTTAGGCTAGACAGCAGAGAAGCCTTTCTTGCTGGCAGGGGTAGTTAAGCACTAGATGGGTGTGGTACGTCCATCATTGAGGATTTTTAAGGCAGGTCAGACAAACAATTTTCAGGAATGGTTTGAGAAGACCAAATCCTGCCCTGGGCAAGGAGAGGAAAATGGGCAATCTGTTCTCCTCCAGCCCCATTTCCTCTGATTTTTTAATAATAATTTTGATGCCAGTTAATGATTATTATAACTACCTGTGCTGTCCCTGTGTATTTTACTGATATGTTCCTATACATGATTAATTTTGCTCTTGCAGTACATGCAGAGAGGAAATCATGATAACAGAATTTGTTAATGTATAAAGGAAAAATATGCCCCTACTTAAGAGAGCATTCAAATTCTGAAGGGCAGTTCTGACATAATCTTTTGCTTTTGGTTTTCTGTATACAGGATTCTCAGGTGTTTGTGACACATCTGTTTTTAACATCATTGCATAACATGTTTGGAAAGTGCTGGAAAAATATTCCAGCTTTTTTTTTTCTTTAAAATTTCAAAAATCCATTACAGGATTATACAGTAAAAAAAATTATTTAGACAATATTGCAGTTGAAATAGACTGAAGAATTCTTACACGTACTTTATTTGTGCTTCAGAAATTTGGCAATTTAAGAAGCCTACCCTATCTGTCGTTCTTAAGCTCATCACAGTATCTAAAATCAATTTAGCAAGAAGATACTTAGCCAGTGCTTTGAAGCATCCATACATAAATATTGCCATGTCATTCTGTTGGTTGGGATTATGTTACTTGCTGAATGATTGCTACTCATTTTTTGCCAGTATAATCAATAAAAGTGACACTGAGAAATCTGATCTTTCTTCTCTGCAGGCCAGCTTTGGGTGGTCTCCTTACATCATCTTTTCGGCAGCACCAGGAGTCCTTGGCAGCAGAAAGAGAAAGACGACGTCAGGAGAGAGAAGAAAGGTTGCAAAGGATAGAACGTGAAGAAAGAAACAAATTCAAGTAGGAATCAAATTTGCTCTCAGTCTGTTGCTTTAGTGTGTGATGGATTTGTACATCGAGACATTCAATTGCAAAATAATTGAATTGATGAATAGTTTGTGTGTTTCTTTAGATACCTTTCTTGATCTAAGTATCATAAGAACTGATATATTAAACACATAATGATGAATTTTGGCATTTAATAAACCAGCAATATTTTTAAAGACAGCTATGTATTTGCCAATTATACTGACTGGATATCTGCAGAGGCCTGGTTTTATTAGCTAATATACTCCTCAAAGTATAATCTCAGTGAGGCATAGGGTTTGAAGATGCAACAATGGAAGGAAGGTATCAAGAAGGGAGGAAGGGACAGCACTGAGACATCTTTTTGTTTTTATGTTCTGCAAAGTAAAAGTGTTTTGCTGTCTTGGGATGTACGGTAGTGTTTTTAAACTACTTTTTCCTGCTTTTCTGAACATGTGTCTCTTTCCCCTGGAAACAGCAACTGACAGAAAGTAATTATCAAAATTATTGCTGAAGCCATGGCCAGACAAAGGCCCCAGCTGAACGTAGGACTCTCCATTTTCCCATCTGAGAATGTTGTGTGCTGTGGGATCCCCGAATGTGCTGCCTGAGGATAGTTAGAGACAAGCCCTTCCTCCTGTTAAATCCATGCCTGGAAATACCAGCACAGGCATTAGCAAAGACTGCAGTGGGCTTAGGATAGATAAGGAGCCTATACCTGAAGTGGTTTGCCTACTGTCTGAAGAGGGTACATTAAGAAACTGATTTGTTTCCTCATAAACAGGAGTGAAAAGTAAACGTATTTTTAGTAGTTAGAAGACATAATGTAGTAATCTAAAGAATGGTAGGATAAATGTTTTGTAGCCTTAGAGTGGTATTTATGGAAAAGATGGCACTGGGTTTCATGTGAGCTTGTTTATTAGTATGCAGGATTGTTTTCACTGTAATCATCTCTTCAGTAAGAAGTGGAAATGGTCTGCGTCATAGTGAGTTTGGAAAAAGGAGTAACTTACTAGTGGTTGGTTGGTTGGTTGGTTGAAGGAGATATTCTCCTGGCTCCAGAAGATAGCTAGTTTAGAAGAAAATGAGAGGCGGAGGGAAGGTGGAAGAGCACCATAATAGGATCTTTGGCAGCCAACAGCTGCCCAAGTTCTCCTGAAACAGAAACAATCAGGTCTCAGTCTTCAAGCCTCTTCCAAAAACTCTCCCTCTAAGTGGTATCATCAGGCTGCAGCAGGCTGCCGTGGACAGCCAACATGATCTTTCAGAAAGGAAACTCCCAGACCAAAAAAGCCACCAGGACATTTGGCAGCTTGACCTGTTTGAATAACAGATCTGCACATTTCACTAGAGGTTGGCTACAGTAGTTGTTCTGTCACTAAAAAAGCTTCCTTAAAGTCAGAAAAACCAATTTTTTTTAAATATATATATTCATCCCATTACTCCAGAGTCAGAAACTGGTTAACTAAACGTCATGATTGTGTTGCATATTTAAGAAGACAATTTTTCAGTGCCCAGTGTTTTCTTCTTCTAGATTTGAGTTCCCTGGTCACTCAAAAGTTATAACTTGTGTTTGAGTAGAGGGTCTCCAAAGCCACCAAACTTTGCAGACAGTCAGCATCCCACAGTTGATTAAACAGTCTGGCAGGAGGAAGGCAAAGCCACAGCAAACAGTCATGGACAGTTTCATAAGAGTTCTTGGGATTACATTATCATATCATCAGTCTGGCTAGAAACCCAGTCTCTGAAGATGTATTTTTGATTAAAAATAGCACTTGCAATTCACAGCCTTTAAACCCGTGAGCGGTACTGGATTTACCATCATGACTCATTTGTTATCTCATTCTTTCCAACTCAGCCTGCACTAGGCTCTGGCACCATTATTGACAAATTGAGGATAATTTAAAGGAGAGCATCACCAGTTGTGAAAGAGCTTGGTTTTAGAAGTGTTAAAAAACTTCATAAGCTATTGCTAGCAAAAGGAACGCTTTATGTAATGGAACATTTTTCTCAGCAGAAGAACTGTTATACCCGTTGCACATACAGAACAATATATCCTAAAATACAAGGGTTATTCTTCAGCTGTAGGGAAGGGTGAGAGTTGTCAGAGGGGAAAGAGTAATGTTAAAATTTGCCTGCTGAAAAATTCCTAGATGTTATTTTTTTTCGCTTGGAGTTATTCCCATAGCTATTGTAATTCCAAAGAATACTCTGAAAATATGATAAAAGTATAACCAGTTCAGGGATTCAAAGGATGTGGAGATAGCCTGAAACAGTAATGTGTGTTCCTTATTAATGGACTTTTGAAGAGCACTTGCAAGCAGATGTTTGATAGCTATTGGTATAGTAGATGATAAGTAATTTGTTTGATGACACAATATAAAGAGAAAAAATAGTGTTTTATTCATAAATGGAGTAGTTCTGAAAGTCTTTCTGGTACTCACAGGTTACGCTGTGGAAGAATCTAACAGATAAGGTGACAGTCTCATCAGTTTTGTCCACCAGATTCAACAAAATATTAAAAATACATTGTAAGGAGCTATCTTGCTGTGATACTGAGGCAGGCTGGACGTTCTGGGTTCTGCTGTGCTCCGAGTTAAATTTGCATCCACGTTTGTGGATGTGACAGGCCTGCCTGAAATCACAGTGCTCAGGCGTCTGGCAAAGTTGAATTGGCAAAAGCTAAATATACGAGTTGCTTGAGGAGCTGTGGGAGGGGCAGCCGAGATAGAGGGAGGTTTGTATCTAAAACCGAGGGTGAAAAATAAAGAAGTGAAAGGTTGTTACCTGTCCGATGGTCCTGCATGCGCCTTGTAAGACCGAAGAATTGTCCTACTCGGTAATGCCAGTCCGCTGTCCCGTTTCCAGCCGTGGCAACTAAAACACAATGAGGAAAGGTATATTAGAAAGAGGGCCGATACGGTATGCTCCCTGCCTTGGTCTAGCCTGCCAGGTGCCTCAGTCACTGTTTCGGGGCATTCTAGATGGAGCAAATGAGGAATGGTTTAATAGCCACTAATGTGCCTGCTCATTATGGGTAAGTCCGGTTCATTGTATCTAATTGCAGATACCAGGTTTCAAAATGTGCTTCAAGTTCTTCACTTTTTGGGTTTTTTTATAATTACTTGTAATGACCTTCTGAACTACATATTTGGTGTACACATACCTGTGGTGTATGCATGGATAAGTGTACACACATACTTTTCAGCCTTTTTTACAAAAGCAAACTAATAATTTCTGTCGACAACAGCCTTCATTGTCTCTGATCAGCTTGTTTGTACTTCTCTTGGTTTCTCCTACTGTACTTACAATTCTGTTACTTACCTTATTCTTCTGGTTTCCTCTGCAATTTACTGGAATTCTCTTTTTAGCCGCGATTATTTAGACAAAAGAGAAGAACTAAGACAAGCAAGAGAAGAGAGGTTTGTACATAATGCATCCATCCTTCCCTTTGGTTGTTTGCACTTCCTGTATTCTCTACTGTGGAGCTGTCGTGTATTTACATTTTTAACTCTGCATGCACAGAACACTTTTATTCCAAAAGACTTCTATAAGACAGCGGTTGTTTCATTAAAGAGGAGAATTAAGTCCAGCTGTAAGCACAGCAATACATGAAGAGCAGTGGGACTGGAATGCATAAGAATGATTGATGATCTATCTTTTATCTATTTGTGTGGGAAATAAGCTTACTCCATTTGCCTCAGAAATTTGTCCAAATTTAGCATAGTTATAAATTGAATAAGCCTGTGTTTCTCACCCAGTGGGTCCCAAGCTTTCTGGAGGGTCAGAAAAGGCAACTGAGGATAAAGGAAATTGGGGTCACAAGCATTGCAAAACTGTAGTCACAGGCTGATGGAAACGGTTCTGACCCACTCCCAGCGTATTTTTATCTTTCAGGGGCGAGTTTTCTATGCCGGCCTCTCTAAACATCAGTGAGTAAATTACAAATCTTAGCAGTGTTTATCATTGGGGCATTGTTTTAGTTTTATTTAAATAGCATATTTAAAGGGACTGAATTTTTTTTTTTTTTTTTTTAATTCAGTTAAATAGTTTAGAAACTCTGGGCTAGGCTGGGAGCTATGTGCTTACGAAAGCATGTTTTTTGAGGAATACTCGACTAAAGACCTTTGCTTTTCAGTAGCTTCATCTCTACGTCCACTAGTAATTACACCCTGGAGGGAACTCTTGGTTTTACCTGGAAAATATGCACATTACTGAACAAATAGTAGATGAAAAATCATCCAGATTGCTTCAGTTCTGCTTTTATGGTCCCCTAGATATTACTCTCTGGAGATACTTTTGGATTGTCAAGAATTGGAATTACATTATCAAAGTATGAGAGCAGCCATCTCGGAAATCGTTGTGTTGCTGCGTTTTGGTGTTGGGTTTTTTTTCACAAAACCATCATACAGGAGGCAGTTTGTTTCTGCAGACTAAAGTCTCATCTATTGTGGCTGAAGTAGCTGATATTAAAAAATTATTTTGACATCTCTAAGAGTAAGAAAAGGTGGATGGGCTTTCCTTTGTCCTTCCAGCCAAATCAATTACAAATAGTTTAAAGCATTTTCTGGAATGAAACGCGTCTGAGCCCATAAGCATCATACACTGATCTGAGCTGAGTAAAACCTTTTACAGCAAGCATGCTCGTCAGCAAGATTTGAAACAAATTAGGAGCAAGTTCTCCAGCACTTCCAAGTTATAAAGCAATATGCCAAGTAAACTGGAGTATTTTTGGGGAAGTGTTCGCCAGCAGGGCATCACTGCTGTGCAATCTGAGACAATTTCACTGGTCATTAGGAATGTGTCTTTATCCTTAGGGCTCTTTTGAACTGAAATGTTAAACTATCAGTTCTTCCTCATAGAGAGGAAAGACATATGTTTGCTTTGACAGCACATAAATATTGGAGAAAACTTCTGCAAGAGAAGTCTCGCAGCAGTAGTCCATTACACTGGCCTTCTGTAACTATTTTTGTCTAACAAACACCTTTGCCCAAATGAAGTTTCATTTCCTATAGCAAGTTGCATGTTGACTTGCTTTAAGTGAATGCATGGACTGTAAGAAAATACTGTAGCCAAGGTGCTAAAATCCTAGTTAAAATCTGGATTGTACGTTTCCTCCGTATCAGTTTGGAAAAGTAGAAGGAGATAATATTGAGCACATAGGAAAGGCTCTATTAAAAGCACTGGTTTGTCTAAATTCCGTCAGATCTTTGGAGCATTCTATGTACTGTTGTGTCACCCTGGAGCTCCAGAGTACAGGCACCCACTTTTCCAATGGCTCTGGGGTGGCCTCAGTACGAGGGAGAAAGATTCCTGCAGTTTCAAGGGGTCTGAGTGTAACTCAGCACCATTCATTTCACGTGTTCTTGCTGTTCAATGATTTGAGGCCTTTTTTACTTTGCTTGGTTGGGTGTTTTCCAGTGGTAATTTAAAAATAAATCCAAGAAAGGTGATCTCCCAGGTCCTCTCTAGTGTGATTTACAGCTCAAATGCTCAAATGCTCTCAACCCCATGACTTTGTTGGTACGTAAACATTTTAAGTCACACTCAGGGCATTGCTCAGAGACCTAGAGAGCTCACAGTGATATTTTCATCTACTTGAAGATGGTAAGTGGAATGTCATGTTCATGAGGTATACCAGATGGATAGCCCACAGACTTTTGGATCTTGGTCTATAGAGAAGAGTCAGCATAGGCGTGACGATGTCTGTAGGTTTCCATGATTTAAAGGAATATGGCAGTATATACAGAGGCAATGTGTCAATCCTGTAGCAAAGGAACTAACTGCAGCAGAGGGGTGGTAGCTAATCCTTTCAACTCCTTCGGATTTTGGTCTTCATGAGACCTTGTGTATTTGATGCTGGCATTCATTCATTGTTAAGACATTGGGCAGAAACAAAAAATAACCTAAATAAATGTCATTTATCAAGTATGAAGTGTTAATAACTGATTCTTGAATGATTTTTATTTCTCAGTTAAATTGCTGTATCTGCTTATTAGGCTTCCCATTTGATAACTAGTTATGCTGATGTGCTGCCTTGAGAGTTGCTGTTCTGGTTCCCTTTTTTCTTTCAGTATAATGAACAGATACATTTGAGAAGGCGCATCTTGATGATAGTCCTCTGCTTGGCTGGTTGGCTGTGCAGCGCACAACTACAGAAGCTAAAATGTTAAAGCAGCTGAAAAAGAGCTGAGGATGATAAAACATTGTAGCTCCCCCCGTTATAGAAGGACCCATCCAGATCTTTGTTGTAGTCTGTTGGCAAACTGCAAAACCCTCCTCGGCAGCAGCCAGCTGGGCTGTACCTGTTTGAGCTAAGTGATCGATTTGAATGGCTCTTTATGAGTCTGCAGTCCCATCTGCTCCACTTGTGAGGAGGCGGAAGGCGCAATACGTAAGCGACCAACGTCAAAAGAAAGACTGGCTTCATGAACTGTAACAAAACGTTATGCTAATGCCAGCGAAAGGCTTTCTCCTCTATTGAAAAGGCAAAAATCATTCTTGAGAATTGGCTTCATGTTAGAACTGTAAACAGTTCCTATTTTATAACCATACAAGTATGTGGCTTGTTATATTTTCATCCAGAGTCTGTAGGGGTTCTTTTTCTTGCAGAATTTTTTCAAAGCCTGTGCATACCTCTGGAGGAATAAAAGCAAATGAGTTTGTTCTTCATTATTGCTGTTTGCAATAAAGTAAATTGCCTCTGAAAACACAAGGACTGCTCTTCAAAGACACGTTTCTATGCTGTATATGGATGTTTGCAAATGTGCATGCGTGTGTGGCTACCACATGTACTAAGCATGTTTGTTACCACATACGGCTGACTTCTTTACCCTGCCTGCTTTTAATGCACCCTCATACACTAATCTGGGCTGTCAGTGAGGCAGAAGGGGGGAGGAGAGGTGTTCCCTGTTACGAAGTGTTTACAACGGTGGGTTATAGGAGGATGACCACAGTGTTTCGGGGACGTAAGCAGTAGTCTTGATTAACCTGTTTAACAGTTCACTTGTGGGTAAGACAAACAGTCTAAAGCCCAATCCAGCTGCATTCATGAATTTATTCCTTAGCAAATAATGGTGGATAAAATTAGCAGACATCTGGAAGAGGCACATATTTCAAAGTTATTTTGGTCGAAATGTATAAAGCACACTATGAAGAATATGATTGGTAGCTGGTCTTAATAAACAGTTAGTGAGTTCTGCCTGCCTAAAATGCAAAACAGATGTATCTTTGTTCTTTTAAAGTGACTTTGATGAATAAACTACATGTGACGTCAGGTCCAAGCTATTGGATGTCTGAGTCCGGCAGAGAAATTTTTTAGAATAAAAAGAAGAAAACTTTCCATTGTAGACTCTGGAGAGAACAAAGTGAATTCCAGTGCATTGCTCTCAGAGCAAATAGAAGCAGGTTCAGAGACTTTAGATAGTCAGTCCAAACGTTTATTATTGGTATTGTTTTCAGGGAGATCTGTTTTTGTCTGCTGCACTGAACCATTTTCCTCTCCTTGCAGCAAGTCTCAGACTTTGGCTATTTGCATCAGTATTAAGGGGCTCTGGCTTTGGAGGTTTTTTTTTCTTTTTCTTTGGGTTTTTTTCCCTCCCGTTTTAGTTTTGGGAGAGGGAGGGCTGGGAGGAGGAGGAGGAGGTGAAGGAGGAGGGTGAAAAGGAGGACAGACAAATGCTTCCGAAAGGAGAAGGACTATGCAGACGCGATACTATATCTAAGGACTCTTTAACTCTGCTGGTTTTTGCTTCTGTTTTGTCATGAGCAATTTAATGTTTTTCAGGGCAATAGTCTTTACTTTGGTGTGCGTTTTTTGGCAGATTGACCAGGCAGGCAGTTTAGTGCTGTACCCCTTGTGTCAGGAAGTCAGCTCATTCTCTGCAGGTGTTTCATCCATAAACAAGCATCAGCCACAGACTTCTTTTTCTTTACGGAAACCCTCTGGAATTTAACTTTCAGATACAAATACTTGGAGAGGTTGGCAGCGGAGGAGTATGAGAAGGAGCTGAAGAGTCGGAGCGTAAGCCGAGGCAGAAGTGAGCTGTCCTTGAACCTGAGATCTCCTTCAGCCCCATCCTCGCCTGTACCCAAGTGCGTCAGCCCAGCATCCACAGAGTCCCAGGAAGAGCTGAAGACCCCTTCCACCCCTTGTGGGACCCCTCAGCCCTCAGAAGGTAAGTGAAAAGGAGGGAAGAGGAAAGAGCAGTGGTTTTATCACAGTTTCTCTCGGGCTAGCAGTGATTTTTGATGAATTAGTGCATGAATATAACCTCTGAGGTGCCAAAGTAAAAGGTCTATTATATTGTTTCATGCTGTCTTCCTAAATTTCCTCTTTTTTTCCATAGATTTGGATGTCTTCTAGTCTATTCAAGCAAAGGATACACTGCTAATTGTTGCTATAATTTATATTATCATTGTCTGCTGCTATTAGAATGGAATAATTGGAAAATACAGCATACAGAGGGTCTTAATTTTAGCATCATGTTCCTTGTATATTAGAAGTTACTGAATACTAAACCAACAATATTCCTGCCAACAGATTTTGCTTATGTGGTTTCTCTAAAAGAAATGCAACAGATGGATGCCAAGATTATAATAACCTTCCAGCAGAGCACAGGCTGAATGGGACAAACAGAAAAGGTCTTGAAGTGAAGGCAGGGAGGGTGTGTTGGTTATTTTTAACACCAACAAAAACTCTTAAAATTGTAGCACAAGTAGTAAAGGACTTAAAAGAGACCACAGACAATTAGTAAAAAGGAAAGTATAATTAGTGTTTGCACGGTTGGTTTGCTGTCATATAATTTATTGGTGTACAGAGCAATATTTTTTGTGTGTGCACGTCATTCTGCCGCTTGCATCATGTACCCCTCCTTCAGTCCTCAAAAAAACACCCACCATACAGATTTTATTTGCGCCACATGATGTTGCATTAACATTGGGAGCTAGAATGCATGTTGAGGGTGAATTATCGCCACCGTTCATTTTTATTTTATTTGATTTCCTGCTATGTGCTATTGGTGATTAATGCATTTGTAACTTGCACTGCTTGGTTTTATTGAGTGTTATGGCTGGTAGCATGCTATAAAGCAAGGCAATTTAAGAAAAAAGTTACAAATACTGAATGTTGCATATGTTTATCCTCACCGTACTAAGTAGGTGAAGTTTATTGAATTTAGGTTTATATATTTTCCCAATTATATTCCCAGTTTTCTTGTCTGGCACCTTAAAAGTCTCAGTGGAATCATTTGAACTTAAAAAATGTGGATATTTTCCTGCAACACTGATATTCAGAAACATCCAGATGCCCATTTTTTTTGAGTGCAATATTGCTTTTAGAGCAAATAAGCTGGGTTTTTCCACCATTAGGATTTCAGAGCTGGGTAGGGAGCAAGTATCTCTCTTATGATGATTATTTTAACATATTTCTCCTGGAAGCATTAAAAAAAAAAATGCGGTATGAAATGGAGCAGCACAACCCATTTGGAGAATACATTTAGAGCAGGTGTACAGGGCAACTTCAGGCAGACAGAATACGGCAAAGCTATCAACACGTGGGTAGGCAGGACATCTCTACCAAAACTCCTGACAGTATCAATAGGAAGCAAACGCCAGCAGGCAGACAGAATACGGCAAAGCTATCAACACGTGGGTAGGCAGGACATCTCTACCAAAACTCCTGACAGTAGGCATCAGAGGGCAGCACCTGGAAGCCTGGCAAATGGACTGCAATGAGAGAACATATGGATGGGGCAGGGTAAGTCTCCAGCCGGGGGCAGCTGCAGGCAGATGGCCAGGACAGCACCAGAACAGGAGCCTGGAATCTGCATACTTCAGTGGGAGCTGTGCATGAGGAAGGGCTGCTGTTTCAGACCTACCAAAAGCATTGGAAAGGTCATATGAAGTAAAGAGCGTGTGGGCAGGGCAGGCTCTCTCATTTGGAGGTGGCCAGGTTATTGGATATCAGCCAACAGCTGGCAGGCTTATTTATAGATTGTGTGCCATGGCCTCTAGACTATTATCTGAGTTCCTTATGCTCCATAATGAATTAAAACGTCAACTACTACTGTCCTTAGGAAATGTGATGAATCCCACTTAATAGATAGAGAAACTGAAGCATTAACTTGCTTAAGCCAGTTGTAGGAAAGCTGAAATAGAGCCATGGACAGAACCCAGATTACTTGCACCCCAAGCAGTTGCTTTGAACATGGGGGTCACCATCTTCCCAAGCAAGGATAAAGCTGCAGAAGGAAAACACTTCCTCAGTTCTGTGCATGGGACCCTCCAAAGACTCTGCAGGAACGATGTTAACAGATGTGTGATATTCGTCTGCAGAATTCAGAACCTGAAGTGAAATGGGAAGTGTGTTCCTCTACTAGCAAAACAATAAGTGATTTTTGGAGTCAGATTTATTTTATGCCGTTTGTGCTGAAGTATCCTTTGGCCATCCAGTATCTACTGGGCTTAAGAAGGAAATGGATTTTTTCTGTGGAACTTTGTCCCATGCTGTGAAACGTCTCAGTATATTTACTCAATATAAAAATCTGGACTTACTGAGCTGAAGTGTTTTCTCATATAAAACAATTGGTTCCACTAAAGTAATCAAGTCTTGTAAGACTTACTCTTGTAAAACTTGGGGTATAGCATTCAGAGGAAATGAAGGCAGTCCCATAACTGCAAGATGGAACTTAATATTTTTTTTCAGAGCAACTACTTCCTCTTTTGTAATTTCATTGGAGAATATTTTATGAAGTGCACATGTGCAGTAAAGGAAAGCAAAAATAACCAAGACATCTCTGAAGTCAATCCACAAAGGAATTGGAGATGAACCCTTCTCTGAGAGGAGCAGCTTTTTTAGCACTTGAGGAAGTAAGCAGACCAACCCAAGTGCACATTGTGGACAGTAGGAAACCTTCTGAATATATTAGTAGCTAAGCAAGGTTCAAATACTGCCTAAAGTACGACTGGTGAAAGCATCTCGGCAGATGGAAAAGCACCAGAGCATGAGAGTGCAGTGAGGCCATTGCAGCCCCAGTTGTAGAGCCAAAGGAACCACGGTACAGAAAGTCAAAGGAGGAACTGGGGAGGGGGACAAAAAAAGATCATTTCTGACTTGATGAAGAAAGAGCAAGTTCCCTACTAGTGATCACTCTGTGCTAGTTTTACCATCACGAGGAATGGGAAGAAAAGATTGGGGTGGGGGTGGAGAAAGAGAGTGAGTTCCTGCTAAATTCACAGCAAGAGGAATCCCGTGCTGGAGGAACTGAAGGGAGATAACAACCAAGACTTTAAGCGATGCCTGAACAATTGAACCAAGAGGGCTTGGGTAGGTATAGCCGTCTTCAGACTTACTGTATGCATCCCCAAGAGACGCTTAGCATATGTATCTCCCAGCTCCAAGTAGAGAGCAGAGAAAATAGATGAAGATGCGGTTTCCTAATCTATTACCCTGGCAGAGGATTAGATGTGGGCCCGGAGGGATGTTTTTTCTCTCTGAGGGCTTACAGGACTGGGGGCTTGAGGTCTTATCAGCAGGTACTAAGGATATGACATCTTGTGTCTGCTTCAGAGTTCGTTTATAGTTGAGTATCTAAAGAAAAGTCGTTTCCCTTCATGTCCCTGTATAGCATTACAAGTTCGTAGCCACGTTTTTCAGAAGGGAGCAGCTTGCTGTCCTCTGTAACCTCTCACTCAAAAGAAGTGAGTGAGACATGAACATCCGATCAGATCATTGCAGATCAGGTTGCTAGGGCTTTACGTGGCCAAGTCTTGAAAATGTCAGAAGATGCAGATTACACCACCTCTCAAAACGACAAAATCTTTACGCATTCATTGAGGGACCCTGCTACCATCTCTTTTAGTGATGAGGTTACACAGCCTTTTTGGGAGATTTCATTCTTCTGAGAATCTTCGTTTTTTTTTTCCAGTAATACATTTTTAGAGATTAAGTTCTGGCAGAAAAAAGAAATGGGCATATGACTCAAAAATTAGTCCTTAAAGCCACATTCAGTTTTTCTCCTCCTGATTAATCCAATTGCAAGTAAAACTTCTGCTCATTTAAAGACTGCGATTCCCTCATTTGTTTTAATGGGTGGGAGGGGGCAAGGAAGCTAAGCCTTGAGAGAAGTGTGAAAAATAGTATATGCAAGTGAAAAGAGATTACCTCTACTACTGAATCTGGCAATCCCAATTTAGGTTTAAGAACTGTATATGTGTAAGAATTTGGTTTTTAAAAAAAAAAAAAATATGTTGCTTATAATGGCATCACACTTCTTAATGTCTCAGGAATGCCTTCTTTGCTGTTGATGCTTTTTGATATGACCATGCTGGCTTCCCTGAGTCTTTGCACTCTCCACCAGCAGAAGCCTGAAGAAAGGGAACAGAACCTGCTCTGTTATTTAACTCTGTTGCCACCTGCAAGGTTGCCACTTAGAGTAGTGTTTTGTCTGTGTGAAAATTGATCCAGTAGATACGGGACTGAAAGTTCCAGCTCATTTCAAATAGGCCACCACCAAGCATTCACCGAGAATTGTATTTTTTAACATCTTTAGAAGTTCTCACCAGTATCAGCCCAATGGATTACACAATGGAACTGCAAGTGATGGACACATATCTAGCTTGCTGGCTTTGTTCTCTGGCTAGTGTTTGCTGACAGATTTGATTTTTTAACTGCTTTTTAAGGGAAGCGCTACTGGACTTAGCTCACTATTCATAAGTTAATTGGGTTATTGGTGGATTGTTTGATATTATCCCTAAAGAGAGAGAGAGATTGTCAAAATGAGTGTCAACGTATCCCTGTTTTGTTCTAGAAGTTCTTAGATTTTGATACTCCTTGAACTCAAAAGAGCAGCCTGTGTCAGTATATTGCTCTTTACTCTTTGTTATATATTAGCTTCTGTTAAGGTACTCCATCTTTCTGCTATGTGTGGAATATTTCTTGTTTGAAGAGTCTCCCCTGACTCTATCCTATTGAATCTTCAGTGTAGCTTCATGATGACAAAGGTGCCATAAGCATTAGCAGTCCTGGCCGTGTTTTAGTCAGCTTCTTTCCCCACCAAGCTGTTGGAGTTGACCTTTTTGGTTATTGCATGGCAGCTTTTGTTTTAGAGAGAAACATCTAAAATTCATACAAAACTATGATGAGTTGATGACATTTGTATATATGGACCATTGCAGCGTGGCAAGCTCAGAGTCTTTCATGCTACAGTACCATGTTAGTTCCAGGAGCTCCTGAAGGATTCCTAAGCTTGCATCTCAGCTATATTCAAATCTCAGCTTGACTTTAAAATGCTCTTGTGCTATACCTACACACTGACAGCTGTGGTCAGAAACACACCACTGGGATTCAGAGTGTCTGCCAACTTCTTGCCAGCTCTCTGTAATTTTGATTCTCTCATAGGCAGGGTCCAGGGTACAGTCATAGGTAAGGTACATTTAGAGAGACAAGGCATATGCAGAGCTGCTCGCATATCTAATATTAGACTTTTAGATGCCGAAGATGTAGAAAAGGGAGAAAGGTAAGCTTCTAATTGGGAGTGTTTTAAAACATCTTAGAGGGATTTGAGTGAGCATGGGCTATATATTAAACATATTATGTGTAGTTTTCTTTTATATAAATGTATTATATGTGCATGTCTGGTTATTTAACTAACTACACATTTAAAATCAATTGTGAAAGTGCAGAAGCTTAGCTCCAATGAAATCAGTGGCAAAAAATAATTTGCAGTTCTGTACGCTTAAATTATATGAAATGAAGTGGAATAGTGTGGCACTGAAGATGCATTACTGAAAGCTATTTTAAAAACATATGTGTTATTGTAAAGATAAGCACAGGCATTGTTAGAATTCATTATTCTTTGTGTGGGTGTCTCAGAAAATAGGATAGGCACACAACATGAAACAGTCTTAGGAAAACATTGTGACCTTCATTATTTTGGCTTATACTTTCTCAGGATAAATCTATTTACCTGCTCCCTAGAGGACTGAAATGTTTGGATTGCATTCCAGTGTGATACTTTTTTTCCTTCAAAGATTCATGTAGTTTGTGAAGGAAGTCTCATCGTATATCGTGTGATCCAAAGACTGTGAGAAGTCCAGAAGGCTCTTTTGCAATATTGTAATGAAAAGTAGTTAACAGAGGGGAAAAAACAAGTATGACTTGGTCGTTGTAGTTCAGCCACCCAACACAAGATTTAGTACAGAGGGAATTTGGGGAGTATGCAGAACTAACGTGCATGCCCATTTTCATCACTCTTGCATGGCCATTTCAGTTTTCAGAAAATTGTGAGCTGCTTGATGTGAATATGTGTGGATGCTCTTCAGTTTCTTTGCAGCATGCAGAGAATATTTGCATGTGAACATCTGCTGGTTTAGCTAAAAACCATAAAGGTGAATGAATTAATTTCACTGTCAGTGATAAAGCAGGGAAGAAGAAACCATGTGTACTATCAACTGGTTGCTGTGTGCCAACTGATAAAAAAGCTCATCATATGCCATATGCCAACCAATTGGAAACTAAATTTGTGCCATATGCCAAGCAGTTGGAAACTTTGTTCAGTTTTGATGTGGCTATTCTGAAGCAAATGTGCATGAAAAAACATATGTTTTTTGTCAGCCAAATGTGTGACAGTGCCATTTCCAGACTGTGCCATTCAACTGTGTTAATAAAACTAATATTTGTATTTTTTCATTGAAGTGTTCCTCATCAGGTGAAAAAAGAATTCTTCCAGAACCCAAAGAAAATTCAACCAAAAGCCACAATCTCCCTCCTTTTTGTTTTTTAAAAGATCTCTTCCTTCCTGGCTCTGTCTAGGCACTGAGTTGTCAATGTCATGCTCAGGTGGGATGCCCATTTTCTGCAGATTCGTTCAAATCCTTATGCGAGTCCAACACTCCAGCTGTGGAAGTATGTATAAAAACAGTGGGCTGGCTCCAGACAGCAAGTGAGGGGGTTTGCCAAGCCACTCTCATGTGCAATGCTGTCGTCGCACAGTATTCATCAGTCTGTTGCTCCTAATGTTCAGCATGCCGTGGACTTGCTTTTTATTTTCTTTCCATAAGGCACTTGAACAACTTTCACGTTGCTCTCGTTTAGAGGGGCGAGCCCGAGACGACTCCGTTATTAAGTGAATCTCTTTCTCCCGTTGTTCTCTCCGCCAGTGAGTGCCAGTGAACCCGAACCAGAGACAGAGACAGAACCAGAACCAGACCCAGAGCAGGAGGCTGAGGCTGAGGCCGAGCAGGGAACGGAGACACCCAAGGAAATAGAGGCTACAGAGGTGGGACCAGAGAGTGAGGTGGAGCAAGGACCAGAGAGAGAGCCAGAAGAAAGTGCAATACTCAGTGAAAAAGAGAGGCAGAATGAGGAAGTGAATGAAAAAGACAACTGCTCTGCATCCAGCATATCCTCAGCAAGCAGCACTTTAGAGAGGGAAGAGAGAGAGGACAAGTTAACCAGTGACAATGAAACTGGTAAAGTGAAGCTTTTTCAATAATGAAAGGTTTCTGGTGGAAAAAAAATGTTAAATTAGCAGCTCTGTTGTTGTGTTAATTAGATAACAAACCCTTTGCGCCTGTCTAAGACTTCCATCACCCTGCCCAAATCCGTTTCCATTCTCTGCTTGGCAATCCACAGACTCTGATGGTGTTTCTGTGTTTGAGGGACAGTAAGGCCTTGATGAAATGAGGTTTCCTTTGACTCAAGACCATTTTCTTCCCCCAAGATTAATGTATTAAATATTGAATTATCGTGTTGCGGGAACTTGCATCTCTAGCTCCTAGAGAATTTATTTGGGTTTTCTACACATAAAACAATGAGAGGAGGGGCCCTGTTGATACGATTTGTCATGAGATTCCAGATATCTTTTCTCATGCTATTAGCTTTTAGTGGAAGAGGAAGAGCGATGAGGACTAGGATGTTTGCTCCTTCCCTCCAGTTTCCTGTCATCATTAGACTTCGGAAAGCAGAGAGAGATACATAGGAGCTGCTGAAGATAGGTCTGGGCTGTGGCCATCCTTAGCTCGTGTGGAGGAGGCACGTGAAATAGACCTTGTCTGGAAAAGACCAGTTCTGCAGTGACCAGTGGTTCTGGTCAGATATGCCACCAGGCACCTGTAAAGGGTAGCCCAGCCTGGAAAACACCTTAAGAACCAGTTTCTGCCGGGAGAGATAATGACAACCAGAGCTTGACAGGCAGCCCAGGTAGGGAGTAAAAGGCAGATTCTGACCTTCATTGATTAATTACTCTTTACTTTTTTTAGAGAGAGGTAAAGGAATGTAATGTAATTGGGGCATTTGGTTTCCAAGTCTTCTTAGGGCTGAACAGGGGAGTGCATTGTCCTAAGTTTTCTAAATTCTAGATAAGAAAACAAAAATTGCTTCACAGCGTGAAATAGTCTTGCTCTTTCCTGAAAGAAGAGGGATGACACTGAATCACAAGGATTACCTCACAGAGATAAACTGTCATGTTTAAACTCTATCACTTTTTTTTTCTGGGAAGCATTAAGTTAATTTTATTCTAAATATAAGAGCTATCTTCTTTTCAACCAGCACCGAGATTGAGTTACTTACAATGTTATTGTACTTTTAAAGAATGTAGATGGATATATACGTAGGAAACAGAGGGGAGATATGACAGATGAAGGGTGTCGTTACACTGTGGCATAGTCCAAGGTAGTCCAAGTGCAAGTAAGGGAGAACAGGTTACAAGTTTTTTCCCCTCATCTTGTCTGTTACCAACCTGTTACCACTCTAATGAAAGTGCTTATGTACTTTTTGTTAAAAGCTAAGAAATGTACCCTGTTATCGAAAAATCAACATCTTAAAATTTACCTACGTTACCAGTAGACCAAAGTTGTATTAGGCTGTGCTATGTAGGAGGTCTCATGTAGTGAGCTGTTTGCTCTCTAGTAGGTGAGGAGATTCAGAAAGCAAACGAGAGCACTTTCTCCAGCAGTTCTCACATTCCCAACAAGCAGTTTGCCGTGTATGAGGTGGCCCATTGGTTCTGCCCAGATGCATTAAGGACAAAGGAATAAAGCCTTTGGTCCTGGCTCCTCCTTCATTAGCCATCCTGCTGAATTTGGCTTCCAACAAGTCTTGTTTCTCCGATGGTATTGCAAAGTTTTACCTGTGGAGAGGAGGGCAGAAGAGGCCCCCAAGGTAGCAAGAGTCTTCACAGCAGTAATCTTTGATCAGCTAAGGCAGATGGAGGCAGTCTTGGGGAGCCCAGATTAGAGATTGTGTCTGGGGGAATTTTGATGAGCGGTTTTGCAAAGGGATTAAATCCTGGAGGATCCCAGCTGGTGCAACTGAGAGCGGGTAGGTCTTGTGGGATTTGTAGAAGGGATCCTGGGAGCAATCTTGAACATCTTTGAAGGAAAGGCTGGGTGTAGGGGGAAATCCTCTGTGTGGGCTCAGCTGGGTAAAATCTGTGGTGTGGGGAAGGAGTTGTCTAGTCACGTTGTCTAGTGAAACTGCCTCAGAGACAAATCTAAGAGACTACCTCAGGTGACAAATCTTGGTGAGAAAGTAATCCCATGGATAAAGTCTGAGGAAAAATAAACAGAATAATGAAAGCAGTCAAGCCTCCTGCACGAAAGTAGAAGAAAATAGTTTTAGAGGTTGCATCCATAGCTGAAAAAAAGTCTTCCTTTTGTCTGGGGTTAAACCTCTGGACTCATTTTAAAATGCGGTTTAGAGGTTGATCTGAATAGAGGTGAGAGTCGTTTCTGTCCATGTGCTTTGTGCTGTGAGACCCGTCCTACATTTTAACGTGGTGTTATTTTAAAGGGGCAGGGAGGAGTTGTGGGGCCCTGGATGTGGATCTCACCGAGGGGACACGTTCTCAGAGCACAGGGCTAGATGTCATGGTAAGAAAGCAACTCCATTGATGAAGGAGGCCATAAAAGATGTTTAAAACCCTAAAGTATTGAAAAAGGTGGGAGCATAAGGGGAGAAACAAAGATAAAGTGGAAGTTTAAGAGAAAGGGCAACTGACAGGTATAAAAGAAAATCTTTAACCACAAGGGGCCAAAAGGAAGGCAGGCTAGCAATCAAAATAAAATATGTTTAAGAAATAGAGTTTATAAAAAAATATATTAATAAAATGTGTAAAGACTATGGGGAACAGAAGGAATCCCATACAGGAAATACAGTAAGTGTGATGAGTTATCTTTGTCCATGTTTAATCACTTCATCTGATGCCCACTGGAAAAAGAAGCACCATAATTTTTAGACACATCATCCACATTGGTTAGCAGTATTATATTCAGGGAAATGTAGTCGAAGAGACGCTTACATCATTTATTTTTACAATTCTACTGCTATAGTTTGTTATTTATGGTGCTGTCTCAAACTTGGTATTTTGCAGATTATTGTTGAGAAAAGCAGTAGTCTGAAAGTTGAAGCTTCATTACAGTGACATGTTAAATGATTGTGATGTGGGAGGAAGGCCATTAGGCTTTCAATGCCATCATATATTACAGGGAGGGTAACAGTGGTTGATGAGCAGCATTTTCAAAAGTCTTTTATAAAGGTGCTCATATTCCTAGAAATAACTTTAAAAATCTTGCTTATGCTTATACTCACTGAGTTCCCTGAGAGCTGTACCCTGGGTATGCAGCCTGCTCTGGGATTCAAATAGTCCGTGTTGTCAAGATGGCCCCGGTACCCAGCCGGGAGGTCTGTGGACCAGGCAGATGTGAAAGCTGTCCTCCCCTAGCCAGCAGGGAGGGAGGAGGAGGAGTAGGAGTAAGCAGTTACATGTTGACCTTGACATCAGGCAGGGAAGATCTCTTTTATAAGGAAATTTTCTGGGGTGGTTCCAGTTTATGGCCAGGTGAAGAGTATGACGATAACCTATTTTATGCCATTGTCATGATATTTAAGCCCCATTCCAGATTACTAAAGATTCTGAGCATTTATGAACTGTATGAAGTGAGCTGGGGTATTAAGTACAAAGTGAAACCTGACGGATTTCAGGAGAAACCTGAACCTTGAAATCCTGGCAGTTATATAGTCCCTCCCGAGCTACACTGATTATTTCCTGCTCCCATTCCTTTTTTGAGAATTACTCCCAGCGCATCAAGATTGGGCCATATATCAGCACTGTCACTTACTTCAAAATTTTCAAAGCTACTGCTTGCCCAGTTTCAGAACAATTGTGCATGTGTCCCCCAAATTTTTTCTGGTGGGTTGAAGAGTGTTCTTGGTGCTCTGGCTCCCTCCCCTTGACTCTTCCCATCTGTATGTGTGTGATTGCAGGTCCATGGTCACAGACCATTCAGGATGCTGGTGTGAATGAGCAGTGCAGCAACATCCTCAACAACAAGCGATTTATGCTGGACATGTTGTATGCGCATAACAAAAAGCCCAAGGATGAAGAGGAGAAGGAGCTGGAGGCGAAGGAGGAAAAGAAGGAGACGGAGGAAGGCGAGGAGTCACTCACTAGCCTAGCCAGTAGGATCTCTATCCTTCAGGCCACAAAGCAGGCCAAAGATGAAAGTGTCAAAAAGATGGAGATCGGAAATCTGGACAACCAAGGCAGTGTGAAAGCCTTTGCGGAAAAATTTAACAGTGGTGAGCTGGCCAAGGGGACAGCCATGCCTGAAGATGAAATCAGTGAACAGGTCCCTGAGAAAACACCAGCACAGCCAAAGAAGGAATCTGACTACATCTGGGATCAGCTCATGGCTAATCCTAGAGAACTTAAAATCAAAGACATGGATTTTACAGACTTGGGGGAGGAGGATGATGTAGATGTGTTGGACATGGATATGGGTCCTGGGGACTCCCTTGTTCCCCCTCCTCCACCTCCACCTTCTTTTCTGGGTTTGCCTCCTCCACCACCTCCCCCACTGTTTGGATGTCCGCCTCCACCTCCACCCTCTGCTAATTTATTGGCTCCTCCTCCGCTGTTCAGCACTCCTCAGGGTTTAGGGTCACCCCAGGTTTCTAGGGGTCAGCCAGCATTTATAAAGAAGAAGAAAACCATCCGTCTGTTTTGGAACGAGGTACGGCCATTTGAGTGGCAGTGTAAAAACAACAAACGCTGCAGAGAATTCCTGTGGTCGAAACTGGAACCCATTAAGGTGGACACTTCCAAACTGGAGCATCTCTTTGAGTCTAAGTCCAAGGAACTGCCTGTCACAAAGGTACAACTCGTATTCAGCTTGCTATTATTTTGCTATTGTATTGGTATTCTTTCTGACTTAGATCTAGGTGATTTATGTTGTTTATATGAAAACAGTGGAAATTACTGGATGTGTTTCTAGCTTGGCCTATGACGGAAGATATTCCATGGCCTGAAACTAGGAGATGAGGCTAGGGTGGTGTACGTGCCAAGCTGCCCTTGTATCTCAGGTCTACCGGTTTTGGGATATCACTTCAGGTGGAGAATACCAACAAATTTTACATTAGGTTGTTTGTAGCTGAGTGCCAAACTAGGTATTGAAATGTGAAATATTTTCTCTTACATTCACATAAACGTCACAGCATGATGATTCATATCTGTGTATTTGACAGTTCTTCGCTTGGTAATATCTTCCTAATCTTTATGTAGAAAGGTTAGAATATCAAACTGGATCTGCTGCAAAAAGCCTACACGTATGCTTTGTTCTGAAGGATCAATTTATCAGCTGGACCAAGTTTGCAGCTAAACTCTGCAGGGGTGTTGGGTTTTTGTTTTATACTGTTGAACGGGCCTATTTTAAATCCTTAATTTGTACAATGTGGCTATCCAAATTTTAGGATAGAAGCTGGCACAGGAAATACCTCTGTAGCTAGGATTCCCTCTTCCTTAGGAGCATTGTTATAAAATAAATAAAATAAAAGGCTGATGACATGGCTGTTTAACATTAGACTCAACAACAAAGGGAAGTCTTTTATAGTTAAGTTTTGTAAGAATTTGAAGTAGCATTAAAAAAGTTACTAGCGTGAACATTTGTTTTTCATGGCTAAATAAACTTTTACTTCTAAGCAGAATAATAGGTATCTGGGAAACAACATTTTTTTCCAGTTAAAATGCTAGTAAAAGATGTCCATCTCTTACTTAAAATAACTAAATCAGTTGTATGTTTTCTGTGTATGCCTATATGTTTTATAGTGACATAAAAAAGTCAGTACCTTGACTATTTTACGTCTCTTTGGCTCGCAACAGTTGTTATATATTTTATGTATCATATATATTATTGTTTGCTCTTAATCTGGGGAGACTGGATGTCTCACGGTAGAAGTTCTCCGTGTCACTTGTCTGGGTTATTAACTCAAAATTTTCTCATAGTCATTCTTGATCTTGGCCAAGTGGAAACATTGCAATTTGAACAATCAAGCCCCTCATTAAGTACCTAGCAAACAACAGGTACATAAATACATGGCTCGCGTAGATCCTGCCATCACTGTTCTTAGCTGAATTTTTTGACACAGATGCATGTAGATCTGAAACATATGGCGTAGCAGCTCTAAAAACACATTCAGCTGATCATTCATTTGGCCGGTGCTGAGATTAATTTCTCTCTCTAATTCCTTTTCTGCTGAGGAAGGAATGCTGATGACGTTGTGGCATGTTACTCCTCATCTCTCTCCCTGTAAATACAAATCTGCCACAGATGGTTCATAGATGGAAGGAATGAGAACGTTTTCTTAGATCCATAAAACATTTAATTCCTCGAATTGAATGTGGAATTATGACATATTTGCCATTTCCAAACTTTAGCTTTGTGCTAAATGCCAGTATTGTAATGGATCAGCCTGGCTGATTCTTAATCTTCTATTCTCACCCAAAATTTTTGATGTTAAATTGCTGGAATTTTGACTTGTTTACTTCTCCAGTCATTTACCGTGCACGTTCCCAAACTACCTTTGGCCATTTCGCCCCCTCCCCTCACACTTGCTTCCCAAACCTGCCTGGGCTGCCTGATGCTCTGGCACAGCTTTTGGCTTCTGGCTGGAAGATGAGTGAGCAGGTTTCTTTGAAATTAGTGCAAGTCTGAGGAATGATTTAGGTGACTGCTTTCCTCTTGGAGACTAATAACTGCTCTCTGCATGAGACGTTAGACTTTTGGCTCTCTTTCCACCCCGTCCCATAGCACAGACATAGAAGTCTCATTGTCTCTGTAGAGAAGACAATGGTGACCAAGGATTACCATAGTGGAGGTCTACTCAGACTTCTGAGACTCCTGCGTGGTTTTGGTGAATACCAGCAAATCTTCCAGGGTAGGAGATGGTCCTTAGATCAAGTGAGAGTGGGAATAATTAGGCAGACCACTGAATCTGTAAAAGACTTGAGGTTTGGTACGAAGATTGCACTCAAATTAGGATAGCTCTCGCTTTTTCCAGACTGCTTGGTTTATTTCCAGGGAGTACATTCCCCGTTGTGTCTAGTTTCTCGTGTCCAATGGCTGCAATCCAAAACAGGTTTATTCTATAATATCGTAAAGTCTGACTCACGGCTCAGTTGGTTCAGCTGAAAAAAAGAGCGCAGAGCAACAAATCAAAAGTCAAATCTCCAGATTTCATAGCAGTAGATGGAAGCAGGTGCATGGAAAAGGAACAGTCCAGAAGGATGAGAGGAAAAGCAAAGTCAGGGTGCGTAGGGGGGGGCTTGGCTCTATCTTGTGCATATGCTCTTTCATACAGCTGTAACCAATTTTACTCCAGTTTCTAATCCTTCACTGTGATTTCCACAACACACAGCTATAAACAGCTACTTCCTGGCTCATGAGAAGTTTTTCATTAAACACAATAGACTGCAATAAAATAAAGTGGATTTTAAATTGTAGGATATAATATAGGAGTTGGGGGTGGGGGAGGCTGGGAGGGGAGATTCTTGGTTTTAGGAAAACTTATGCCACACTGGACTACTCACACATCGATTATAGTTAATGGAGCACCTTTAGTTGCAGAGTGTTTATTTTCTGGAATAGAGGACCTGTTTGCAAATAGAAGGAGAGTGATCAGGTATCCCCTCCAAGCCAGACTAGAATTTCTTTCCTTCTCAGTCAGGCAAACAAACCAGGTATTTTGACAAAGTACTTCAAAGTGTTTATTTTTCTGTGAAGAGAAATGAAAACACGCAGACACTACTGAATCAAACAGTGTTGTTCAGCCCTTCTGCCATCCACTTGGTTCTGCGTGTCATTTGGAAGTATTATTTTGCTGATTCATCTATACCCTGTGGGACATAGTGATCCATCATGTGCCCACAGACATAAAAACTAGGAGGAGTGAAAAATTAAGGAATGTGTTTTCATGTACATGTGTAGATACATGCCTAGACACATACTCCTTTTGAAAACATTTGTTGCAATTTGAATAAATGCCAAGGCAAGTCATAAATGTAGACCAGAATTTCTGAAAAAGATTATATATGTATCCCAGACAAAGCCAGTGGCAGCTGAGTGATTCCATTTTAAATCCTCAGTGCTAAATCCTTGCTAATTGACATAGAAATAAAAACCCTGCCATCTCGCTATTAAGGGATTGCCCTTTTTTTTCTGTACTACTGATGCAGTTTAAATGCAGGAGATATTTCTGACTTGATGCTCATATATAATTACGTATTTATATTACCACTGGAAAAGTGATGTAAATTTTTCTGCTTCCCGTATTAGTCAAAGCAGAGAGGCATGTTTTAGACTATATGCTTATCAGACTACAGATCACCTTCTGTGGGATGGTAATGGTTTTTGACTAACCTATATTGACTACCCAGCCTTCAATAGAGGCAACAGAATCTGGCCAGTTAGGTCTTGTAAAGATCTAAATTCACTGCGGTTGTTAATACATTGCAGGAATGTTTGTTTCCCACAAATTATACCACCTGATATATTTGTATTTTATAATTATTTATTTACATTTAATAATATAATATTCAGCAGTTCAGGGCTTACGTTACATACTGACATATTAAAATATAAAATCAAGTGCACTAGTGCACTGTTCCCTCAAGCATTTGAAGTCATTCTCTGTTAATGAACTTATAAAACAGTCTGAAGTCACCTAATACTGTAATAGAAGTTAATAGTTGTAGCTTATTTTAACAGTCAGACACTTACACATGTGCAATTTCATTGCAGACAAAAAGGAATTCTTTTCCTAGCGGTAGGGTAATAAAGTTCATAGTAGTAAAATCTTTCTCTTTTCTTCATCCTTTTATTTATTTGGAAAGGATTTCTTTGTAACTCAGCTGTCGTCCCCAGAATGGATTTAAAATCTCTTCTGCCCCTGTTTTTGAAGAGTGAGTTACCCCAAATTTTTATACCCCATATGCAGTTATAGCTCTGGAAAATACCTTACAAAAGGTATCTGTACAGCTCATCTGACTTTCACAACTCATCGCTGAGGAGCGAGCGCACTGTTGCAATCGCAATCATCCCAGCGGTTAGTGTCATATGTCCTTCAAATGAATATGTCTCTTGTCAAACTTAAGAGCCTAAAAACAGAGCTGCAGACCTGAGGCTTACTTACCCATACCGCATGTGGGAAGCCTAATTTAACTCCTTTCCCCCAGCCTTTTCCCTTCTGCATAAATCCTCTGGAGCTGTGTCATTCTGTGCTGCGAAGGACAAGGTAAAAAGTAGTGGTTTAAAAAAGGCTTAGCGTGATACAGACTCAAGAGGAAGCAGTCTCTGGTGAACCCCGCTTGTTTTTATGTGGTCTTGACCACTAACTGTGGTCCTGAAAATGTGATTAATGGCACTGGAAGTAAAAATGACTGCTTTAAAGGAGAAGCTGCATCTCCAATCCTTCAGGTAGCTCCCCAGGAAAAAGAGGAGACTCTTACTCAAAGAAGGCCAACTTCAAGAAGGCTTCAGGGATGCTTTTAAGGTGTTAAGAAGAGAGCAGTTCTGACAGAACAGACATACAAAAATTGAAAACAAATGTTATCTTTGCTCTCCTGAAATTTATCCTGTTTACTGCAAAAGTGTTGTTTCTTTTTAAGTTTAAAAAAACCAACCCTCTCGTTACTTTCACAGTTGCATCACACCATGTTAATCATGTTGGTATGACGGAAGGGCTGTGGTGCCACACATGTGCTGGGCAGGCTGCTGGGACCGGTGGGCATACTTCTTCCTGTGCAGACAAGGAGCTGAGCTATGGCAGAAAAAGGCATCTTTGTAATGATGTAACTGCATTCCCATTATGGGCTGACCTACAGCCGGAGGGACTTTGATAAAATCATATTTATTAATTCAGACAGTTCTTCCAATGCAGAATCAGCATGTAGACCTGGCAGTAGGGCATTTTTTGACTCAGTGGTGGCTGTGGTGCAGACCCAAAGGAAGTGGAGAACAAAGCTTTGGGGTCAAAAAAGCAATCCTGAGCACAGATCGAGACTGGGGCAGTAAGAGTCTCCTCCTGGGCTTTCCCCAAATCCACAAGAGATGCAAGAGGCACTACTGCTGTAGACAACATAGATGATTCTCTGTTCTGAACAGTTGTATGGACTGCCACATTGCAGCCTGGAAAGAGGGATTGCTTAATCTCTCTCTTTGCCCCTTTGAGGTGCACCTGTGCTAAGGATGCTGCTGCCAGAGCCACTAACCACAGTCGAGGTAACAGGCTCTACAGGGAGGTCACAGTCACGTCTCTGCAGCCTGTGCCTTGCTGAAACTTGAGTTTATACACAATGAAGCATGCCTGTGCTTGCTTGCATCAATGTGCTGGTCTTCTCCCTATGCCCCTGTGCTTGACAGCATTCCTCAGCCCATCTCTGATAAGGCAAAGGAAGGGGAAACGGAGAAAATATGTTTCCAAAGTTCATGTCTATGGAGAGGGAGGAAAAATCCCTGTGTATAAGGAGCAGAGTCCTCTCCTCTTGCAGCTGCCTGGTATATGACATATGTAGTTGCCAAAGAGACACCTTCTAGCACAGGACAATGAGAGAATGAGAGGCATGCCGGGGCATAAAAGCAAAGACCATGTTCAACACTGTTATGCCATATAAATGGTTTCTGAGTCACCTTGCCTAGTTGGTTCGCATTTTGCCGCTATGAGGATGGGGAGAGAGAGGAAGAAACTTCTTGGGTCTTCTCTAGAATGGAATTTAAAATGTATGTTGTTAGTTCTTCGTGCTTTCATTATTATTTATACTGTAGTTTATACTGGAGGTAAGATCCAAAGATTATGTCTAGTCTCAAAAAAAAGTCGAAAAAAGCAGAAAGGTTGAAGTTGCTCTGCACCTGTGAAGGGTTTGACGGACATATCATGAGCAGCAAGGTAGAATACCCTTCCTCTGACAGCCAGAGGTCAGAAAACCATGCCAGTGTCTCCAGAAAGGCCTCTACAGCTCCTTTGCCAGTGCCCGAGGTGGATTTGTAACACAGGAGAGTGCTGGCAGGCAGGTCGGAACCACCCTGTCTATTTCCCAGCCAGCCATGCAGGCAGGAGAGGGTCAATGGCCACTCCAGGTTGATGCATCCAAGGGGGAATTGAGCCCCAGAGCCCATCGGCCACTCGGCTGCTGCCCTGCAGTAGCCAGTCGTGCCGCACGGCAGACCTCTCGCACGGCAGAGACAGCTTCAGGCTTTTTTCAGACTGACTCCTGCCCCAAACTCCAGCGTTCCCAGCCCTCAGGGAGTCCTGTGTCTCAGGCCAGCTCGGCTTTGCATGGCATCTGAGACTGCATTCAGCTCTCTGGTTAAATCCTGGCAGCTCGTGCTGATACCAGCAAGGATGTGGTAGAGTTCAGCTTTTTTGGATGACTATAAATGCATTAGATTTACATTCAGCGTCAGCACCCTTGAGTAAGGGAAGTCATTGGTGAAAGGAATGACTTTTCCTCCAGCCTGTTTTATAAAGAAATAATATTCTTCTTCTCTTCTTTACCAAGAAAACTGCTGCAGATGGGAAGCGACAGGAGATCATTGTATTGGACTCAAAACGAAGCAATGCTATTAATATTGGCTTGACTGTGTTGCCCCCTCCCCGGACTATCAAGACTGCTATTTTGAACTTTGACGAATATGCCTTAAACAAGGAAGGAATAGAGGTAAGAAAGAGTAGTCGATGTCTTCAAGTCTGCATTTTTAATGTTTCCTTTTTTTTTCAATGTTGCACATGGTACAGGCCAGACCTTTCATGGAGGAGGGAAAAGGGGATGTATTATATCATGACTGAGAGTTGAAACTTGTCAAATCAATGTAATGTGCTCAGAAGCATGTAGTATTCACCTGAGGTTGGGCATGCTCAGTAAACATGGATTTCTCTGGTTGGTTTGTGTCTAAGTTTGAGTAACAATGGTGTTAATTCCTGTCAAGATTTCCAGAGTATTATCTGTTCCTCTGGAGATTGACTGAAATATTGTGAGCAGCAAGAATAGGCAGTGAGTTACTAGAGCTGATGCAACTGGTACAGGGTTTAATAAAGTTCATGCCCAGCTAGCTGTTGGAGTCATTCTAGATTGTATATCTAATGGAAAACAAATACAGTGACTAGTTCTGCTCAAAATAACATTTCTGTGTTGCTGTTGTTTGAAGAAAAGCAGTTGGTATAAAGATTACAGATGATGTAATTTTTACCATTACATGTTTGACTTTGCAGATATTCTTACCGAGATCCAAGATGAGCTGTTTATTATTTTTTTTATCAAAACATTTTTCTTCTGTGAAGTGTAAAAGAAGCCTGCTGCTCCCCTGTTTTTTTTCATTGTGGTTGTACTCATTTCAAATCGCTTCTTTTTTTTTTAATAAGCCTCTATCACCTAGTAAGAGTAACCTGCACAACTACAAATCTCAACCAGTGGCTGAGCAGCAGAGGTCATATATTGATACACAGTCACCTTTCAGTGGTTTGGCACTGTGTTTCATGATTTCCACCTTTCCACCTTCACTGTGCTGACTACAGAAGAAAATGAGAAAAGCTGGCTGGAATGGAAATGGAGTTGCCAACAGTTACATGCAAAAGAAATACTTAAGGCAAAAGATCATTCTAGCTAGAAGGCAAGGCCTGATTTATCCCTACTAGAATATAGTTTCTCCCCAAAGCTGTATTACTTATTTGGTATATACATACCTTACTCATATTATGAAGGTGACAAATCAGGCTAAAAAAGTAATTTTTCATGACCCAGCCCATGTACCCACCACTGCAGTTTGCAGTACTAAGCTTTGAAGTGTTGGAGAGAAGTAGCCCTCCAGCCAAGCCCCACTCACAGACCACAGGTTTGATCTCAGTGCTGTAGGCAGTGTTTCCATACAAAGTCCAACATAAAATGGCTGATAAAGAAGGACACATCTTTATTATCTTTCATGTATCATCTCCTTTGAATTGTGTCCTTCTCTGGCACGCTTAACAGAAGTTCAGCTGCTCTGCATAGCTCACCCTTTCCAGTGCCAACATCTGTAGCTGGGCTGTCCATCTGCCAACCAGCTGTGGTATCCACAGTTGTGAGTGCCTTGTACCACCACAGCCTCTTTTGGGTGGCCTTTCCATTAGCTGCCAGAAACCCATAATTTCATTTAAAATATATATGCAGGTAGCTTTCAAATTGAAGAATTCAGAAACCAGGAAATGATACACTGCTGATATACTTGCCCAGTGCTAAAGAAAATGGGATTTCTGAGTTCTGTGTCCACAGCTTGAACCTAAGATGTGAGTAATCCTGATGTGATCATTCAGATATTTAAAATCAAGAGAAAGGGAATAAACTGAATATGAGCCGGCAGTGTGCCCAGGTGGCCAAGAAGGCCAATAGCATCCTGGCTGGTATCAGAAATAGTGTGGCCAGCAGGAGTAGGGAAGTGATCGTGCCCCTGTACTCAGCACTGGTGAGGCCGCACCTCAAATACTGTGTTCAGTTTTGGGCCCCTCGCTACAAGAAGGACATTGAGGTGCTGGAGCGTGTCCAGAGAAGGGCAACGAGGCTGGTGAGGGGTCTGGAGAACAAGTCTTCTGAGGAGTGGCTGAGGGAGCTGGGGTTGTTTAGCCTGGAGAAAAGGAGGCTGAGGGGAGACCTCATCGCTCTCTACAACTACCTGAAAGGAGGCTGTAGCGAGGTGGG